TCCAATACGTATTCCCTCCTAATACGTATTTAACAACCTTGTCGTACATGATACAGCCTTGTAAATTTCAAAATATATTAAGTTCGTTAGTAAAATTCCTACTTACAAACGATTGAACGATTCCTATTTCAAAATTTTGTATTTGCTTGTTGGTTGTTCCTTCCGATGGTTACGACATGAGACAGAGATTATGCTGCAGTTGTTGAGATTTTTATCAATAACATTAACTTAGAGCAGGGTCTGTTGGAGAGTTTCCTAGTCCTCGTTATAAAGCTTACAAATAGGTACTCTGCCAGTGCTCATGCTCTGAGCAACTCCTAGGGGTTCAACTTCCTTAAGTTTGTAGAACTTATGTAGCAGCTAGAGATCTCTTCAACAATAACATTAACTTAGAGCTGGTCAGTTGGACAGTTTACAATTCTGGTGGCGGATCTCTTAAACAACAACATTAACTTAGAGCTCCACTATTGGGTGTTTCCAAGCTCGCTCCGGTTCGCAACAACCTGTAAAAGTTCACTGTCCACCGGCTTGAGTTATTAAATTCAATATAATTATATCTAAGACCTTAGTGAGAGCTCGCTTACAGTTCACAGAGAGACAGTTTTAGTTTGTTGTTGTAAATCTTCCTGGCATCGGGTCCTATTTTATGAAACAACAATACAGGCTTTCTATTTTATATCGTTAATCGTGAATAGACTTAGAGTTTTGCCTTAGTTCGTGTAATTTCTGTATTGATAACGATAATATACATTGTAGTATGACTTGTCATACATGTTATATAGCATATTATTCAGTCCATAAAATATTAGCAATTGGGATCTGATTGAGTGATTGCTGTTCAGTGTTCAGCATCCCGATTATGACTGAAATGAAATAACTGAGGTAACAGGAAGTTGTCACTAACCTAAGTCCACCTAGTGAAAGAAAGACAAGGTCAAAATATCGAAGGTTACGGGAAAATGCCAAAGTTGGTTGTTCCTGCGATGACGCTGAATCATATTAAGATTGCAGCCATCTTCCTGTATTTTCTTTACATTTCCCAAGGTATAGATAATATTAAAACCAACCTACAATACTAATACAAACAACAGGCTAACGGTGTGTCTTGATGATTATAATAATCACTGACATAAATATTTCATTAAGAGACACCCTATTTAATCTTTTTGTCTCCAGTTTTGCTTTCAAAAACACTTTCCCAGCAGCCGAGGACTTTTACAAGAACGTTGCTCGAGAGGGAACTGCCAGTCAAGTAAATACCTACGGAGCAGGAGGAGGGGATAATCGCCCGGTTTTAGCGATCAACGGTGTAGTAAATAAGTAAGTTTACCAGACATTGAATAATAACTAGACATAGATACTGGAGGGGACACGAACCAAATTTGCTTCAATGATGCGAGAGCTATCTCGGGTTTCGATTGATCAATGCTGAGAGCTGTCACGTGAACCCTAATCTCAACCCTCACAACAATACGATGAGTTTACCAAGGTTATATAATTATATTAGGTTATAAGTTTCGGTCTTAACCAATGTTTATCTTGTTAGCGGGGGTGATTTCACCCATACAAACACGGGAGGAAGCTCAGCATGGTGGATGGTAACACTGGAAAAGGTGTACCTAATATCAAAGATAGTAATCTACAATAGGGTTAACAGCGACAGAATAGAAGGAGTAAAAGTTTGGGTGGGAACAAATTTACCAGGAGGGGACTACAAAGGTGCTACGAATGTTGCAACCCTGAAATGGGCGGGCTGGAAACAACCTTACACCATTCCTGACTTGGACATAGAAGGATCAAGCGTTGAACTTCAGGGTGGTGTTTCTATAATCAATCTCTCAGAAGTTGAAGTATACATTTTGACTATAGGTATGTATAATGTAAGTCATATATCGGAGCGATACTAAACGCGTGGAGCAAAAAGGCCATGTTGTGAGATAAGGTAATGAGGAAGAGGGTACAAAAGGAAATCGCGGCATGTACGGAATCGCGATTTTTCCCATTATTTGCGACAAATTTTATGTATAGTTTAATGTATAGTCTGTTAATAATCGCGAAATCCTTTTGTCCCTGATAGTCCCAGAAGAGTCTGTACAAGACTCACGACTGTTCCGCATGATGAACATTAGAATGATATTTACCTTACTTCAGATATCTGCTTCAGTTACCTCAGAAGAGTCTACTACAAGACTGTTCTCCATGATGAACATTAGAATGATATTTACCTTACTTCAGATAGCTGCTTCAGTTACCTCAGAAGAGTCTACTACAAGACTCACGACTGTTCTGCATGATGAACATTAGAATGATATTTACCTTACTTCAGATATCTGCTTCAGTTACCTCAGAAGAGTCTACTACAAGACTGTTCTGCATGATGAACATTAGAATGATATTTACCTTACTTCAGATATCTCCTTCAGTTACCTCAGAAGAGTCTACTACAAGACTCACGACTGTTCTGCATGATGAACATTAGAATGATATTTACCTTACTTCAGATATCTGCTTCAGTTACCTCAGAAGAGTCTACTACAAGACTGTTCTGCATGATGAACATTAGAATGATATTTACCTTACTTCAGATATCTCCTTCAGTTACCTCAGAAGAGTCTACTACAAGACTCACGACTGTTCTGCATGATGAACATTAGAATGATATTTACCTTACTTCAGATATCTGCTTCAGTAATCAGTTACCTCAGAAGAGTCTACTACAAGACTCACGACTATTCTGCATGATGAACATTAGAATGATATTTACCTTACTTCAGATATCTGCTTCAGTTACCTCAGAAGAGTCTGTACAAGACTCACGACTGTTCCGCATGATGAACATTAGAATGATATTTACCTTACTTCAGATATCTCCTTCAGTTACCTCAGAAGAGTCTACTACAAGACTCACGACTGTTCTGCATGATGAACATTAGAATGATATTTACCTTACTTCAGATATCTGCTTCAGTAATCAGTTACCTCAGAAGAGTCTACTACAAGACTCACGACTGTTCTGCATGATGAACATTAGAATGATATTTACCTTACTTCAGATATCTGCTTCAGTTAACTCAGAATAAGGTCGGTGGAGTTGTTCTGTGTCTTATTTCTACTAGCAGGAACCCGTCTAACCCTAAAGTGGTGTCAAGACTCAAGAGACTAAAATAATTATTACCTATTTAATTCGCGTTTTTGACACCACTTGGCCGGGGGTCCAAATTTTGGGCTCTAAAAATCCTATTTCTTGGCCTATTTTTTATTTTTTCATGCTGATTTGAAGGCCATTAAAGCATTTGACCCAGTCAAAAAAGTTTCAGTTGTATATCTTTTACGGTTTTTGCGGAAAGTCGTGTTAAAGTTGATGCCATGGTGTCAGTAAAATGGCACGGAACCATATATATATATCGTCTCCTTTATATATAGTAAGATTATTATACATTCTATTATAGATGTATAATGTATTGTATACATTACTTGTACTAGCAGGAACCCGTATAACCCTAAAATGGTGTCAAGACTCAAGAGACTAAAATAATTGTTATCTATTTAATTCGCGTTTTTGACACCACTTGGAGTGTCAAACCGAATGATTTTTGTGCAAGAACCAATACAGTAGAAAGTGTTAGACTTGACATATCTGGAATCTGCTCGTGGACTAAAGTCAGTATTTGAGCGAACTTTCTTTGATGTAACAGTTTCTCATCTAATGTTACTTTCAGTTTTCTTGCACAGCTCGAGGAACGATAAAGAAAAGAAAGATCTTTATCAAAAATATTTATAATAAACAAAAAGAGCAATATGCTTAGGGCAGAATTTGATATTTTATCATGGTTGAGAAAATTGAGAATTTAAGTAGTTGTTTGTTTTTAGAACCCGTCCCCAATCTCGTATCGGAAAATGACTAAACTCAGGTCTGAGTGTGAATACGGGTGGTACCTGCAAGTGTGTTCATTAAGCATTTAGAGTTTTGTAAAACTGCAGTTACAATTGTGCTAGAGTATTTTTAATTTTAGTATATACGATTGATATCAGGTCTATAATTATATCCCTACATGCTTCCAAAATTTGTAATCTCCAACTTTCTGCACAATGTACTGGAATGTTTTGAAGAAGGAAAAAAAAGAAAGTGACATATAAATAAAATCAGCGACTTAATGTTAGGAAGGTGACTTTAATTCCCTAGTTTCTTAAGTCAGCTTTAAAAAAAGTTGAAGTATGTAACGTCGATACCAAACCGATTATTGAGCGATAATAACTGAGTAGTTGATTCCTGGGTTGCAGAGTCATTCAGATGTTTCAGTCTTCGAATGTGGTTCTTGTTCAGTTCTGTCCATATTTCCTCGTGTTATGTTCAAAGTTTTTAACTGTCATATTGTCCTCAAATTATTTGTTAGTTTAAGTTTTATTTTTTAGTAGTTTAAGTAGTTATAATTTGTCATACGTTGAATGACCCGCCGCGCACAAGTGCGCGGCTCCCCCTGTATTCACCTAGTGAAACGACCGTGGGGGTCACGACGTGATACAAGTTATAATGGTAGCAATGAACCAATTCCACTGCCTGTATAATTGTCCTCTGCCAATTGTATTTGTACCACATGATTAAATTAAATGTATAATTTAAAAAGTATCATTGAATAGTTTCTTTTTATTTACTGTTAATGTCTGGCTCGGATATATTCCAAAATGAGCTATTAGTATTTGTTTCGAAGTCATAGACTGTAACAATTTAACTTAAAGGTAATATAGTAAAATCATTTCGATTAATTTGCAATTTAACTTCATATATGTTTGCACAATGGGTAACTTTATTCACTCACAAAAATATCATTCCTATGTTCCATACCCCATCTTTTTTAGTTTCTCAAGTACAACAATACACATATTTTCTCATGAATGGCAACATCGCTACCAATAACGCTTATAACCGATTGTTCTTCAATGTTGTTGTCTCAGATAATTCTTGCTGTTTGCCTCTTTTATACCGACATGAAATGGTACAAACTTTCAGTTTTAGCCAAAACCAGACATTACAATGTTCATTTTGATTTTGATTGCATATAATCTGTCGGCAGTGTTTTCCTCATGTTCATCTCTGGATGTTTATCTCCTGTTTATACGTTTCCTGATTTTCCACAAATTCTGATATGACGCCATTTCTTGGTTTGGTAATGACTCCTCTTGGTCTCGTCATTTCACTCGAAATAACGTTCATTACTGTGGTTTCAGGTGCAAGTACCTCCATCGTGTTGTATCGCCTGTAATGATAGTTAATTAATTAGCAATTAAAGTTTATAATAGATGGTTAATTAGATATCAATAAAGCAGGTTAGTCTTGCTTATCTGATCTAAAATTTGCAACTCTCTCACTTTTTATCAGACTATTAGTAATTTTTGTATTATATACAGTTACACTTTCCTATGATATTCTATAAATTTGGGTTGTGACGTTTTATTAAATTCTTCTTTTAACACTGGTCAAGTCTAAAAGTATATTATATAGAGATCTTACAATAGTCAAACATATAAGACAAACGAAGACTGAAAAGCTTATAAATATCAAACTTGATCACTGTTCAGCACAAAACATCGTAAACTAATAACATTAACATAATAAGCTAGCAATAATAATATTAAACTAATAACATTAACATAATAAGCTAGCAATATTAAACTAATAACATTAACATAATAATCTAGCAATATTAAACTAATAACATTAACATAATAAGCTAGCAATATTAAACTAATAACATTAACATAATAAGCTAGCAATATTAAACTAATAACATTAACATAATAAGCTAGCAATATTAAACTAATAACATTAACATAATAAGCTAGCAATATTAAACTAAAAACATTAACATAATAAGCTAGCAATATTAAACTAAAAACATTAACATAATAAGCTAGCAATATTAAACTAATAACATTAACATAATAAGCTAGCAATATTAAACTAATAACATTAACATAATAAGCTAGCAATATTAAACTAATAACATTAACATAATAAGCTAGCAATATTAAACTAATAACATTAACATAATAAGCTAGCAATATTAAACTAAAAACATTAACATAATAAGCTAGCAATATTAAACTAATAACATTAACATAATAAGCTAGCAATATTAAACTAATAACATTAACATAATAAGCTAGCAATATTAAACTAATAACATTAACATAATAAGCTAGCAATATTAAACTAATAACATTAACATAATAAGCTATAAGCAATATTTTGAAATGTAAATTGTTAATGCTGAGTGGGCCCGAGAATCGAAATTATGAGGGAGAACAAAATGCGTTTAGCTAGTAAATTCAATAAATAACAACGAACCAACAACGTTCAAAGGTTCAATAACTCAGCAGATTGCAGAACAATAGCTAAACTTCATAACATTAAAATAACCATGAGTTCCTATAGTAGAGTAGTAGGTCTACTCGTCGGGATTACTCAATGATTGATTCTTGATTCTCAAACGGAACCAAGGCAGGGACAAAAGGAAATCGCGGCATGTGCGGAATCGCGATTTTTCCCATTATTTGCGACAAATTTTATGTATAGTTTAATGTATACTTATAGTCTGTTAAAATTCGTGGTATCGCGATTTTTGGCCAAAATATTAATAATCGTCAAATCCTTTTGTCCCTGAACCAAGGTCGAAAAAATCAAATGTTATATCTCTGTCCAAGTTTGCACAGTAGAAGTTGGGGTCATCTTTCATTGCTTGCAGAATTGTTTTGTAGGCTTTCTCCGGTTCACAATATAGTGGAACCTTTGATGTCTTAGTGCACCATTTGACACGTGCGGTGAGGAATTGGGGACATTCTATGGAAGAATCGCAAAAAGTTGTAATAGTCGGGATTTTGTCTGGAAATAATGCAACTACAACGGCTTGATCTGATAGTGGTCTTTTGACAGAATGCATAAAGGGTGAAGGTTCAATTCTACGTTTTTCTTCTAGAGCGAACATAATTGTTATTTCTTCCGTTTGATCTTCTACACACTCCATTTCCTTGTAATATACATACTCTAAAGTGAGCGATAATTCAGTGCCATAAATAGGAAACGGCCATCTTTTGTCGCTCAAATTAGTAATCCCCATCTCCTCCAACACTTTCTCAACATGCATAAAACGGTATCTGTGAACGGATCGTTCACGTCCTTTCCAGTTAGACAAATTGAGGACAAAGGCTTGCTTCAAAAAATCAGGCACAAATGATACATCTTCAGGTTCATTAACATGCATCCAAGAAAGAAGACACTCTACAATACAGAATTGGTCTGATGTATCTGTAAGTAGCCGTGGGAGATAGCTGATGTCATTTTTATCGAGTATCTTCCAGAACGAAAAGAGTGTGCCTTTTTCTTTCATTTGTTCAAAGGACTCCACAAGTTTGACATGCCTATAAATGACTGCTTGATGCCTCTGTATAGATAAAGTATCCTGCGACGAAACTTCCAAACCTACCAATTTATCAAGTAATTCACTGGACAATGTACCAGGGCACTTAATCCAGGTAGTTACAGAATCGGCTGTTTCTAGAAAATCAATTAAAAGATTATAATTAGACAGATCTAGAAGAAGCTTTATCCAATGAATATATTTTGAAAAGATATCTTCATCCAGCAGAATCGCAATTAGCCCGTTCTTTTCATCAACTCCTGAGATCAAACTATCCATAACTTGGTGCAGCATCCCCTCTGCGTGCATTTGTTTCACTTCTTGTTTCCAATGGAGCGAGCCAGGAGACCAGTGCAGGCTGAGCAAATCCAACATTGCTTCATGGGAACTACTCCACCTTTTTCTTTCAAAGCCATATAGATAGAGAGCGAGCCTGTAATCAGTAAGTAAAGCTCGACAGGGTCTGTATATCTCGTTAGTCATAGCTTTATCAGATGACGATTTAGCGCAAACAATGAGGCTGTTGAAGATAATTTTTACATCGTTTAAAATTTCCAAGTCCCTCCTTGGTGTCATTTCTAATGACCCGAGCTTTTGGAGTATTTGCTCTCGTGCGTCTGGTATATCAAAGATTATCATAAGCTTTAGGATATCAGAGAAGTTTTCAAGAGTTAATTTTACTGATCCACCATTGAGAATGGACAAGAATTCCCGGACATGTTTATTATCGGGGATGTGCAATTCTTTGCTATCCTCTAGTGACTCCTTCAGGACCCTGCTGTGCTGTGCTAAAAGAGCTCCGCTGCGTTCGATGGTTTCTGAATCAGTTATGATTTGGACGGAAGTGTTCAATTCGTTGCTTGAGAGTAACGGGATAAAATCTTTATACAGATTAAGTCTCCATCCACCAGCAGTTGTGTATTTAATAATATTGCCTTCTTTTTTACAGCCTGCTGACATTTCTATCTAAAATAAAACGTTTATAGCGTAGTATAGTTGTTTATGTTCCTTATTAATTTTAAATAGTAAATTTCAACATTCATGATCAAAACATTAGTCAATAAAGATCAGTTGACTCATAAGTTACTGGCAAATGGCAATGCACATCTTTATGTCAGTTATGTGGGTTTTTAATATCTTATATACTTACAGTATTTAACCAGGAAGTTAATATATTCCGAAAAAAAGACCTAAAAAGAGGTAAACACTAAACAAGTTTTCGTCTGTGTGCACTATGCAGTGAAGCATCTTCGGATAAAATGAATCGCGAAATCGAACAGTCAAATTTAGAAATAACAGTTTATGTGAGAAAAGAAATAGTGTCAGGTACCGCAGTTTACTCATGATGCTATTTCAACTGTCGAGGCAGTCAAATCGTTTCTCAGTTTATAGTTATGCTCAAGTTATCAAGTATGATATTTATATACCACTGTCAATTTTATACTTATATATTTTGAGTCATGACATAGACACTACTGAACCAAAAGTGTCAGTGATGATCACGCAACAAAATCCATTTTTCGACTGTCAAGTATTTCATATTTGTATAAGGTTTAAATTATATGTGTTTTCATGAGTGCACAGACCAGTAAATTACTAACACCATAAAAAACCACGTGTATGGTTAAGTGAGAGCTGAGATTGATGATTATTGCTCTGCAATAATCATCAATCAGTATAGTAATCAGTACCGGTAGGACATATTCGAATTTTAGCTTTCCGCGACCTAAATTTCATTGTTTTGACTGAATTTTTCTTGAATGAGTATGACCATCTTACAAGGTCACTGAGGATGGCACAAGACACAATCGAGGTACTCAAAGTTCTGGTTCACTAGTCATGAAAATAAGTGCAATGAAGCCGATCTTAAATTTGAACTTTATTTGTTAACAACGTTTATCATCATGCCATTATTCAAGACTCGGAGTTGGTCCAAGCCTAATTGAGAGTCAAAGACTAATGAAATTTAATCCAAGATTACAGCAGAGCTGGTAAATTTGATTATTCGAGTTAAGCCAATCCCAACTGCCTGGCACGATCACGTGAATCATTTTACCAGTTTATCAATCTAGACACCACCTCAACAGAAATAATTACATGCCCTGCTAACTAATTCGATAATCAACGAAGTTTCTCTTTCATCATTGGGCGGGCTGCAGACTGCAAAGTGAAAGTGAAAGTGATCATGACTGAAACAGAACAATCACGGAGAAGCGTGAGGTTGGGCGTCGCGTTATAGTTCCTATGTCTGTTAAAAGATCCATCAACTCACATTGATTCTCCATAGTAACTCTGGCAATTGGAAAGTTTGTCTCTCCTCCGTTCTACTTATCTTTTGTTACGAATGTTGAGACATGGCAGTGTTTTACTCCTGTTCGATCAATGTGCTTTCTGCGCAAAACTATTCATCGCAGTTCAGTAAAATTACTTCATATTGATATTCTGACTATTTCACATCATATTTATACTTATTATCAGATTTTTAAATATTTGTACTTTATTCTGTTCGATCATCATATTATACCTCCCAAGTGTTCAAACCGTACTATTTAATAGATAAACAAAAATGGACTTCAAGCTGTTCTTACTTCTGGGGCTCATGGTCTGTGTAGTCTTCACCGGTGAGTATTGCTATTTAAATTTAACTTGTATTATACTTTCAAATCTGGACCTAACGTTTCTCTTTTCTTGAAAGAAAACTGTTTGTCACCACCTGTTTTATCTCGAGATCAAAATTTTGAGCTGACAAAAATTCTATTTTCCACCCTAAACTTTGGCAAATTCTTGAAACTTTTACCAGCTGAAAATGAAATCACAACTTGTTAAATATACAATTTTTTATTAACGTATTGTTGCTTACTTGCTGCTGATAAAAACCGTGGCCTACAACAACAACAACAACAACTAATAATTTATTCTTGGGTAATTGCTTTCATTTTATTTTATAATAAAACTCACGTTACTATCTTTCAGAAGAAGACGGAGGAGAAATTGATGGCGGAGAAACTGATGGCGGAGAAACTGACGGAGGAGAAGAAGAAGGAGAAGAAGAAGAAGAAGAAGAAGAAGGTGAAACAGAAGAAGAAGGTGAAGAAGGTGAAGAAGAAGAAGAAGAAGAGGGTGAAGAAGAAGAAGAAGGTGAAGGAGGTGACGGTGCCCTCGCAATGTCTACTGTTATGCTTCCTCTGGCTGCAGCTCTCTACCAACTAGCATAAAGTAAGATTTAACTCCTGACTTGTTCTCCTATTATAACAATACATATTTACGTCAATCTCATCACATAATACTTTAACAAAAGTTTGTCTCCAAGTAAAACAATTTTCTCCTCAGAATCTTTTGAAACCCGGATCACCGGAATGCTTCTTCCGAGCTACAGCGTGAATTCGACATAATCTGACCATGAAGAGCCGCAATTCTCCTTCTGAGGAGTACTTCTGGCTTTGAGGTGGACTCAAGAATTAAACATTATGCGGGGAGCAAGACGATGCTTTTTACTGTTTGTATCCAAGCCAAAGAAAAGCTTTTTAGCAAATTGATATGTTAACTTTCATTGTCATTTATATTTTAAAGAATAATATTAGAATTGATATTGATATCCTTTTTGTATTTCGGTTCAATTTTAGTTTTATGGAAAAACTTTTGTGTTTTGTCAACCTTAAAAGTTAAAGCATATTTTTTGTTCCAAAATCAAGTCGACTCAAAAATCTGAAACCTTCCAAATTTCATAATTGTAAAAATTAATAAGATCTTACCTGGGGACCTCAGGCTATAATGTTCGTAAACATATGAAAAGCGATTCGGCGGAATGACAGGCTGAGCGCCGCCCATTAACTACATTAAAGTAAGATCTAGAACAATTGTAAAAAGTAAAAATTAACTATGATTTAACTCACGCTAAATCATAGTCTGTAGATGCAGCGGAGTTGATCCTAGCTCGTTTAGCCCGGGGCTGGTCGCTCATGACACTTTTAGTGTCCACCTCCAAGTCTACTCTGTCTATTTTCCCCGCCCTGGAGAGTGTGGGCTTTTATTTAAAAATATTGGTCGTCAAGGAAAATTCAGTTGTTCCTGCTATTTTGATAGGGATTAGAAAAACAAACGTGAAGTTCATCTACTTTCTAGGCGAGTTTTAATTCTATAACTTAATAGAAGTTTCGTTGTTAATGTTTGATGAGGACAAGGCTTCACATAGCCATGTGTATACGCGTACTGCGTGACCGTACGGCGGTCGCGCGCTACTGCAAGCGAGAGGGCTCTGAGCAAGGACAAGGCCATGAGTGGACAGATTATATGTTGATCAATTTAGCACATTTTATTCTCCGATCATTACCAAACGTCTATCACAACCATCTTATTCCTTATTTTACGTAATATCGAATGCATAGTGAAGCTGTGGCACCAATGTAATTTTTTTACCTGAGTATTTAAAAGTAGTCATGAAAGCATGAACACGATTTACCTCGAGGCGACCCGCTTGTGACTCGACTAGTTCCAGCTTTTTATGACCATCCTCAACGGAGTATGACCTCAATAAATGTAATAGATTTATAGTACTGTAATTATACGGTTACCTGAGTATACGTTTCTTGAGAGGGGTGCCCGGAGCTGGAACCAAGTCTAGTTCTTGAGGAAGACAGAAGGTCCTGTGTCCCAACCTCCGCTGCTTGTCTATTACCTGTTACACATGACACGTGTTATTTACTTTCGTCACGTGTTATTTACTTTCGTCACGTGTTATTTACTTTAGTCACGTGTTATTTACTTTCTCACGTGTTATTTACTTTTGTCACGTGTTATTTAATTTCGTCACGTGACATGGAGATCCATCGTTGTGACATGTGACAGCGATGAATCAGTTTTTAGCATCGACAAAGTTTATTATATACTCACATATTTGATCTCCATATCCAAGTTATTATATACTCACATATTTGATCTCCATATCCAAGTTCCTCTCGCTAACTTTCTTCTGTGCTTCAAACTGTTTCAGTTTGTTTTCTAACGATATCTCCTCCCCTGCATTTCTTCTATTCGCGTGATCCTGAAATCATATGGTTTATGGTTATATTTTAGCGACAAACAGGTACGTTTCGCCAAGCTGTGAAAAATACAAATGGCCTGCCAAACTCATCAGCGATTGTTGGTCTGGAAGTCCTTCAAAATGGACTCTCAATAATATGATATAATTGATGCCTGAAAGTTAATTACCTTATCGGACCTTATTTGGACGGACATCTTACTATATATAAAGCGAGACGATATATATATATATACAGTAAGATCGTGGAGAGCCAAGAAATCACAACCCCTGAGTTCTATGGCAGATACCGTGACGACATATACATCACCTGGACTGAGTCACTGGAGAAGCTAGACCAGTTCCTACTTTGGCTCAATCAATACCATCCAAACCTCAAGTTTACAATGTCGACACCTTCTACAGAGGGGACTGAATTTCTAGACCTGTTTATTTACTCGAAAAATTGCAAGCTAGAAACTAGGACGTACTGCAAACCTAGTGATGCCCATAGCTATTTACTCCCACAATCCTGCCACCCTACACACATAGCAGAGATTTTGGAGGACTTAATAAACGTAATGCTCTTAATGAAATAAAAAATTGACCTTTATATGATATGCTTTAATATTAATCTTTCCACAGACTCTTGCATTTTGATGTTTACTTTCACCTCTGCATCTTTTGTTTATATCTTATGATTGAATGAGACTTTCTCACAAATTCCCCATCTCAGTATTGATCTATTTTTGTCATGTTTTTAATTTACTTCATAGAACAGTTATTTTAATAAACTTGCTTTCAGAATGAGACATGTAAAGATTACACAATCGATAGCTTAATGTGAATTTCGTGTTTTACTGTTTCACTGAATGTCTCAAATATATATATATATTTATTTATCCGTGCCATTTTACTGACACCACGGCATCAACTTTAACGCGAATTTCTGCAAAAACCGTAAAAGATATACAACTGAAACTTTTTTGACTGGGTCAAATGCTTTAATGGCCTCCAAATCAGCATGAAAAAATAAAAAATTGGCCAAGAAATAGGAGTTTTAGAGCCCAAAATTTGGTACCCCAAGTGGTGTCAAAAACGCGAATTAAATAGGTAATAATTGTTTTAGTCTCTTGAGTCTTGACACCATTTTAGGGTTAGACGGGTTCCTGCTAGTTACTTGAACGCTGGAGGCCCTAGCGTTCATTTTAATGTCCGTTCAAATAAAGTCCGTTCAATTAATGTCCGTCCAAGTTAAAGTCCGTTAAAATTTTTTCAAAAATTTTTCCATTTCGAACTTTTTGTCCAGAATATGACAATTTTTTAATTTAAGTCAATTTCAATAGCTATCATTAGACTAAACTATATCGTTGAATCAATAAAAACAAGGTATTATAAAATTTTAACAATGGATTTAAAAATCATTTGCTAAAATCAAAAAACGTCAAAAAAAGGATAAAAAATTCGGATTTTTGATGGTTTTGATTGCCTTCTAGCGTTCATATTAATGTCCGTTCATAATTATGTCCGTTCAAGTAATGTCCGTCCAAATAAGGTCCAATAAGGTATAATATGTTATGGTTACAGTACATTATCTACTAGAATAGAATATGTATTCCAATCGTAAAACATAATTATGATTAACTTTCACTAGAATGATTAACTTCCATTTCTAGCGTGCTTGGTTTATACATGTCTAGTCGAAGTTGGCGACACGATCGAGCTCTCTAGTGACCTCACCACACTGTCACGTGCCAATAAAGTGGTGGCTATAAGTACAAAGAAGCTCCACCTGGTGTGTGTTTCAGTTGTAGTAGAGATAGTGTTAGTTTAACTTATTTATCTTAGTCATCTGAGTTTCAGTTACAAGTTCTGGTATTAGAGGTTTGTTGTAATTTATCTTTAATTATCAGCCATATCAGTAGCCACTAATTGCCGCAGTTTTAAATTTTATGATAAATTATTGGAATCACTTTGCCGAGATTAAGTCCTACTGTTTTTGTGGCTGGCAAACTGATCATCATCTCCCCCTTCCATCCCTCACATCTCCTCCTGGCCTCCCTCCTCCGCCACACGTTACTAAAATGCATACAATATGTAATATTTATATGTAAAGAAAGTAACCTGTCGTTTAGAATTGTACCATTTTTCCATATCGTCTGTTATCTCAAGAGAACGGCATTTGTACGATATATTGCTGGTCGGAGATTGCAATTCAACTATCAAGTTTAAATACAGAATATATTGCAAAACATGTAAAGATGACTAGAAGTAATCTCGGAAATAAAAGAATTCCTGTAGTACCGTAGAAGAGTCATTACGAATACAACCTTATGTTCATGCCCCATCTAATTGAACCCACTCAGTAGTGCCAAATTGAATACTAGGAATGATCTTTCCACACACACACAATTCCAATGTATACACTAACTGGAGCAATGACTCCACCCGCCACCGTAAATCACACTTCTAAAGTTCTGATGGATTTCACTCTCCAATGGCCACTAACTCACGATATAACGGCGTCACTAAGACTGACAAGTAATAACGGAATCGATCGGTTTTGCTATGACGTCTTAAAAGTCGGGATGACCTTTTTTGCAAGTCACAGGTTTGAGGTTGCATCGGTAACACGAACAACAGGTAACGGGTGTTCTTCTCTGCCTTGAACCCAAATTAGGCGTCCTACAGGCACAATATAATTATAAAAACATTATGCAAGCAAAGGTAGACGAGCTATATCCGCTGGATCGTTTGTTTTGAACATCATTAAAATAATGCACAGCATTAATTTAAAAACAGAATGAATATTTGTACGTGCAGCTTTATAAAATATCCAGCATGTAATTCCCTCAACTAATGATATACGATTCATTCGGCAAAAATCATTTCCTGCTTAAATATAAAAACACACAAATATATATTATATTTACGTTTATTAAACCTGATCTGCTGTAACATATATAAATTATTGTTAAACCAATTTAAGTAATGCCAAGTGCTCGCCACTTGGTTTCTATCTATAACTTTGAAAAGTCCATCATCATTTCTTAAGTTTAAATGTGTAGAAGTAAGTTTATATTAAAATCAATGCACACAAATATATTTTGTTAGAAATGAATAATATTGTAAGGTAGGATATATCGTGATCATGTAACGTTAGATTGGCAAGTTTCCATAAACGATATTTTATTATCGGCGCCAATAACCGCTTATTGGGCGCTTTTTAAAAAAAAAACCGTTTACAATCGATTTTTTTATATATACTTATATAGCAAAAACTTAGTTTTCTACAATTCAACCTATATTCTACATCATAGAACTGTATATTGTTGTAATTATAATATGGCCATTCAAATGGGCAAAACATATAATAAGAAACAGTGCCATTATCAGTGCTCACAGGTGCCAACTCAAAACGACAACACTATAATAGCAAAGGCATATCGTTAAATGAGTAACAATGTGAAACACAGCAAGCACTGTACAAAGAAAGGAACAATTAAATTATTTAGTGCACATCGAACAACCTCAGCCCCGCAATTTAACTGAACAATAAAGCTAAGTATCCGCCAAGAAAGAAGTTAAACTCCTCCTCCTTTTGTCAGTATTGTCTGCACTAAAAACTGATAACCAGTTATAGTTATACAGTATACACGTGTAAGTTGTGGCAAATATGAGTGACGAATAACGTGGATTCAGCTCACTTAGCGTCTTGTAATTACTGTTAAAAGTGTAGATGAGTTATGTGGACTGCCCGTCTGTAATGATTGTTAGTGACCAGGAACTGACGTGAGTTAACATTGCTCTTTTGTTTATCTGATCCGTTTAATTATTATTTACTTATTATTTTCCTATTAATATCTTTATGACCTATCAATAACTTAATAACCACGGATTTTATGTCATGTAACGACTTTAATATTGCAATGTCAATGCTTCGATGTGTGGGAATATGCATTGACTTAACAATATGCTACCAGTCAGTCCATCAGTCAATATTTTAAAGATACCACTCCTTTGGAGCCTGCATCTTATGTCATACCAGGAATTATAGCATAATGATATCAAAGATAATTAAAAATATCAAGGACGGATGCAATTGATATTTGATATAAAAAATCTAAGCATAAATACAAAGAGGCTGGCTCAATTTGTATAATTCACCTTGTCGATAACAAAAGAGCCTGCAATATCATACATCAGGATGCTGGATTATGGTAACTATAGGACGGGCTTGTTTGCTCTATAGATATCAGGGCATAACTGCAACGAACCTGTCTTCCCTTACCTTATCCCTTATCAGTATTGTCGCCTATGCTTTTAAATAAGGGAATATATAACTAAAAGAAGGAAATGAATATAAATTTTGATAAAACGTATCAAAATAAAGAAAGTTTTAACAAATAACGGGCAGCATGATAGTTACTCTAAAGTTTAAGACAGTAGGCACCTCTCCTAATACTTCATACGACCCCAACAATCGAGCAGTCAATATCTTTAACATATAATCGCTCCTTTAATAGTTTAATAAAGCCTGTGTTATATATCAGGAAATCTGCATCAGGGACGGGCTCCTTTTGACCCTGGCATAAATACAAAGAAACTGCCTTATCTTTTTAAATGTCGGCTTATCGGTTATGAGTCATAAACGATAAGCCGACAGGATACCCGGTGAGGTATTGATAAGGAGACTAAAAGCAATAGTATTGGGTATAATGTCAACCAGTCAGTGAACACAGCTGCTGTTACCCTACTGGGTATTATCATCACACGTTTCGGCATAATCTTGAGGTCGTAATAATATAAAGATGTCCGATAAGAAAATCAATAAGGATAAAAGTCTCAAATCCAATGTATGAAGCAAGTTTTATTGAATAACGGAAAGCCTTGTAGAATGCAAAGTAAAAACGTTTGAAACTCCTCTGATCTCGATAAGTCCTCTATTATAAATCGACATGCAATCTCTGATCTTAACAATTACACGGTCTTACTATTATACACGTGCGTGGTATCTCGTCACTGGGGCTAGGAGCCTGTCAGGAGCCTTCAGGAGCCTTCAGGAGCCTGCCAGGAGCCTGTCAGGAGCCTGTCAGGAGCCTTCTAATTGCTGGAGAGGGACTGGACCGACTGGTATAGTGGAGTGGAGTGGAGTTTACTAGGTCCCAGAAATAAGGAGGTATAATGGTTAGTACCGCTAGTTACATGGTTATGTGGAGTTTACTAGCTCCCAGAAATAAGGAGGTATAATGGTTAGTACCGCTAGTTACATGGTTATGTACTTTATAGTTTGTACCCAGGATATACCTTATCGGACTTTATTTGGACGGACATTAATATGAACGCTAGAAGGCATTCAAAACCATCAAAAATCCGATTTTTTTTCATTTCTTTGACGTTTTTTTATACCAGCTAATGATCTTTAAATCCATTTTTTATACAATAGCATATAATATAATTGCGTCTCAATACTCAATACTCATTATATTACATTGCAGCAACCGCAATACAGAACAGTTTTAAGTTCAACGTACAATTTTTTTCCCTGCTCTTGCCGAAGGCAAAAAGATCGTAGGGAATAAGTAATCGGGTTTGGATATATGAGGTGGCCCGACGGTCCTGCGATGTCGACAAAAGTCTGCTCCTTCGCAATATAGACCACTCCCCTATAATTATGAGTATAGGAAGCGTCTGTTATTATAATGCGCGCGACGCTCGGCATGTGTTAGTTAATTGCAGTATCCAACGCGAATTTCAATTGTCAAACGATGCCGTTCAAATTAAATTAGCCCAAAATTTGTGCGCGGCGTACTAAATATTCGATTACATGCAATCCTGCACGCCTGCAATGACATATTACGATGAAAATATTGCAACTTTTTAACAACAAAATAATCCAATATCTAATCTTTTTAATCGATAAAATTAACTTTTCGTTGCAAATATTAACGGTTTAAGCAGGGAAAATTAATCGTGCGTGGTGTAACCGCGGCGAAATTCTTGTTATTTTTGCATTTTATTTTTACGAAAACCTACTATTTATTGTTACTAAAACAATAGCATATAATATAAGCATCTCAATACTCAATATATTACATTGCAGCAGCCGACCGCAATACAGAACAGTTTTAAGCTCAACGTACAATTTTTATTTTTACATTTTATTGTTACTAAAACCTAATATTTATTGTTACTAAAACAACAGCATAAAGCATATAATATTAGCATCTCAATACTCAATACTCAATATATTATATTGCAGCAGCCGACCGCAATACAGAACAGTTTTAAGTATAACGTACAATTTTTATTTTTACATTTTATTGTTACATTTTATTGTTACTAAAACCTAATATTTATTGTTACTAAAACAATAGCATAAAGCATATAATATTAGCATCTTAATACTCAACACTCAATATATTACATTACATTTACAGCAGCCGACCGCAGTATAGAACCTTTTTAAGTTCAAAAATTTATTATCAAATTTACTTACTTAGTTTTATCATTTGTTGCTACTATATACTAGCGGAACTTATTGACATTTTGCGCGGAACTTATTGACATTTTGATCTTAGAAAAATATGTTAATACTCTTCTATTATGTTGTCATTTCAATAAAGTTGTACTATTAAAGTATTAAGGGGTCGTTCACATATTACGTAATCAATATTTTGGCAATTTTTACCCCCCCCCTCCGTAATCAACCGTAATTAAGACCGAACCCCCCCCCCCCCCCCCCCCCCGTGATCAAGACCCAACCCCCCTCCTATATTACATAATCAAGATTAGTAATCGCAAAACACTTACTAAACGAAAATTGGTTTAAAAACGAAAATTTTGATTACATAATTAACGAAAATTGTCCAATTCTTTTCTGCAAATATCAGTGTACTCAATTGTGTGAGTCCCATATAATAATGTTTCTTCCCGGTACTCCTAGTGAAAATTACCTGCGTGAACCGAGCATCCCACTTTTGAAAGGTTATTAAAATAGAGTATTCTCATACCTTATCAGACCCTATTTGGACGAACATTAAATGATCGGACATAATTATGAACGGACATTAATATGAACGCTAGAAGGCATTCAAAACCATCAAAAATCCGAATTTTTTTCATTTTTTGACGGTTTTTATTTCAGCAAATGATTTTTAAATCCATTTTTTATACAGTAAGTAAGAATAGCAGTCGTTAAGCAGTAAAAATTTTAAAATATGTGTACATGATCAGTGTCTAATATCACATATCATCTTCATCAAATGGGTTTTCGTGCATGAAATAGTCCATGCTTAAAGCATCAGTGATTTCTAGCTTTATGGAAACCTTTTTTTATCAAACTACCCCGGTCCTGCATTTCAGTGTTAACTTTTACAAGCCATTTGGCGTGAAGTGGTTTTATCTTAGACAACTTAAGGTTAACCTTAATCAGTTTTCCTAGCACTGTTTCATTACCTCCCCTGAGTAATATGAACTGTAACAACGTCGGACAATGTCCTTTGCAACACGATTTACCGTAATATCTAGAGACTGGAAAAAGTTTGTCATGTTGGCGGGGACTAACTCATGAACTATGTTGTTGAGTGCCATAATTCCGTTAACTTTTTCCCCCAAGTGACCCTTGAAAACCTCATATAGTTATACTATAAGTAGAGTTTTCTGTGCCTCTGGCAGACCAAGGAGAACCTTTCCTTCGTTAACTTAAGGCACAATAAAGTTCTCATAGTTGTCATATTGTGGACAAAAAGTTCAAAGTGGAAAAATGTTTGAAAAAAATTCAACGGACTTTAAGTTAAATTCCGTTGAATTTTTTCAAGTTTAACTTGGACGGACCTTAAATGAACGTTCTTTATTTGAACGGACATTAAGATGAACGTAAGGGCCTCCAGCGTAAACATAAAATTGCCAGGAACTGCCAGTCCAGTAAATGTCAGATAGCATGTGGGTGAATGTCATTGCTGGAGTAACTAAAAAACTAAGGGAAAACTAAATCAACATGTCGTGGGCAGTAGTGATTACTCCGTTTGATGGACGCAGAATTACCAAGGTGGTGGCATTATTTGTTGAAGTTGGGGACACAGTTAAAATAATAGAAAAGGTCAGTCTTTAATAAACAAAGCTCTCGACCTAGATTAATAAATAATAGGAAGGCATCTTTGACAAATGAGTCATCGTATGAATTCAGACTGACGGCTTCAATGTTGATTCATTGATAAAGATTATAATTAAAACTCATCCTTACTCCTGTTGACCAGACCTCAGAAAAGTGGTGGCTGTGTACGGACGGAGTTGAGACTGGCTACCTTCCTCCTCACTGCCTCCTAGTTACTCAGCAGGAGGATGGTGAAGAAGAAGAAGAGGAGGAATCAGAGTTCAGCTCTGTTGATCTGGATATAACCTCCATTCTAAAGTCAGAGAGTGATGATGAAATGAGCTCACCTAGCAGGTATACAAATTTATTGTTATTGTTCGAGCTTGGTTACATGTCCTTTAAACTTTTAAAGGGGATAAGAGGGCAATGGGGTATTGAACTATTTGTTTCTGTCCGGTTTCTAATTCAGAATACCACTCACAGTATCCAGCAGTAGTATACAAATAAATTAAAACGAACTATTTCGAAACGAGCTCAGGCCTCAGTCTGTTTCACTGGTTCATGGAAAGAGCTATAAGTAAAGTAATATAAATAACGTGGTAAATTCAATCTAGATCAAGTTCAGACAAAAAGGTAAAGTTCAAAGCCGAGCACACGGTTCACCTTATCAAGAAAGACAGTGAAATAGGGACTAAAGAACTGGGCAAGGTTCACTTTACTGAACCGATACTGCAAGGTTAATTTTTTAATTTATCTAAGTAATTATACTAAGAAGTTTGATTTGTAATTCTAGCTTATCCTATTTTAGTCTGAGAAACCTAATTTTAAATTTACTACTCATAGAAACTTCGTGATCTGTAGTCTAAGTATCAAGATAAACTTAGTGAAACAACATTTTAAGTTTACCGATTTAATTTGTTTCAGACGATCCAAATTCAGACAAAAAGGTCCCACGAATAAAAAGAAAGGTGTCATTTGGTTTCAGCAAGGATAAATCTTACGGCTACTTTGTCAATCCGCTATATAAAAAATCTTGTGAAACAGAAAAAAACAAAAAGTAAGAATGATCGCTCAAATCTAAATTACCTCTAAATTTCTTGAAGAAAAAGATTTTCAACTTTTAAATTGAATGCGGTAAAATTCTTTAACACTATATGCCCCTAAACCCTTCACTTTAGAAATGCGTGTGACAAGGACGTTTGTAACCAGTGGAGAACCAACACCCACACTGACTGCTACAACCTGAACCAGTTTAGAGAGAAGGGCCTCCCCACCTCTGGCAGCGAGCCAGAGCCCGGGTTCATATCCAGCTCTGTGGGGTTTGTGACCGGTCTGTGTGGTGGGCGACGGAGGGAGACTGACATGAGGGGCTTCAACCTCATGGCGTTCATTATATCAGGAGAGTAGTGGTTATGTGCTCTGTGGTGGGAGACGGAGGGAGACTGACATGAGGGGCTTCAACCTCATGGCGTTCATTATATCAGGAGAGTAGTGGTTATGTGGTACGGGTATTTAAGGTTGTGTTGCTGCTATAAGCAGTATTGTACACAATATACGAGATGGGGTACAGGACACAAGTTGAACAAGATCCTTAATTTAGAAGAAGATTACGAAATTACTGAATTTCTTATTCGCACACCTGTTCTACCATATAAGTTCAGCTCAGTTTGACACAAAACGAACAAAACGAACTTCTGACACATGCTGTTTAGGTAACGGTCACCAACACCAAGACTTGTGTACTTGTGTTGGAATCTTACTGATTTAATTAAATAAAAACAAAGATTTTACCTGAAGTTTGTTAGACTTGTTGACCAGTTCGCTCCACGATTTGTGTAGGTTCATAACGATGTCTTCTTTCTGTAAATGTGCATGTCATTAGTTATTTTAATCTAGTTCGAAGTATCTTGTTGTATTTATTGATTGTTTTATACATGTTTTTGTTTATTATAATTTTTTTAAATACGTATTTACGTCCACGGCCCACAATCCACATGTGTTTAGATACGACATTACTATCACTACTCTTTTGCACAGAGTTTATGCTCCACTTTTACATGTCAAAGCATTGTTTTATCAATGATAAATCGTTTAAATAAATCACCAAATTGATTTAACAACGAAAATGATTAAATAAGAGTTAGAAATTATGTAAAATCAAACACAATCAACCACAATCAACGAAAGACAATTCGAAAATAAAAAATGTATCCTAAAGAGATATCAAGTCGCGACAGTTGGGCGACAAAGTTAAACTTGAGGATACAAAAACGATAGCCTCGATAAATTTAAATCTCAACGAATGGCATGTACAAAAACTTGTAGTCTTACTCTTAGCCATTCTATCATTTGATGTAACATTTGATGTAACATTTGATGTAACATGAAATAAGCAACAAGATCGAATAAGAATTATCTTTCGTGGAAACCTTACCCTTGCAATATTTGGTTGGTAACCTCCTAGCTTTGGCTGGCAGCCATAGTAAAGCTTGCTGACGAGGACTCTTCTTACTAAACTAAACCATGTACTTAACCGTGTTTTGACGTGCTGTAAGGATACAATGGCTTCCGTATTTAAAATTTTCAAAGGAATTACGTGTTTTTAATGACATGTTTTTGTAACTGTGTAAACTGTTATTAATGCGTCAAATGCCCATTGATAAATCATCATCAACTTGCCTTGCTAAACTTTATTTTAACTTGCTTTTCTTCAATTGACATTCGAAAGTTTTATTTTATTTGCTTTGATTTAATAAACTCATTCTAGGTGGAGGTGAACTTTGAAGGGTGCTCATATTCAGATGTCGAAAAAGAGTAATTTTGTAACCCACATATTTGTTCAAATGTAGCATTCTTCCACGAGATTATCCAAAATATCCAATCTTATCAGGATTGATATAGTTTATAGAGTTATATTTTGATTGAAATAGAAATGGGAATGAGTGACTGCCCATTCGCAATGGAAATCTATTGGATCTGGCTACCAGCCGGCTAATCTTCAATCTTATCATCATGACTATGTTGACAAGCAAAATAGAGCTGGGACGTGATAAAGGACCACTTATTCGCATTAAAATATTAACTATTCAGTAGACACATGTAATACTACTTTATAAAATATCAATATTACTACAAATATCAATATCAGACGGTGCAGAAACTGTATAAATGAAATTTATGTAAAAAAGGAAAACTGATAATGAAATAAGCGCGAATATATAGCGAACTTGAAGGCTAAGTATCATTCTCACACCTCAACCTTTAAAACTACTGAAACAAATGAAGAGCTTTAAAACCTTCGGTCATCTGCTTCACTTGCACAATGATAAACTAGCAGCCGTAATGGAAATTTGAAAACATTTGAAAACATTTGAAAACATTTGAGATTCATTCTGAACGAGACCGTTTGAGGTAATAACCAGACATTAATAAATGCCAATTCAAAACAATGCATAATTTTAATTAAGTGTGCAAGTAGCTATAAGGTAACAAAGTAATCTTGCGATTTTGTTATGCAGGACGAGATAAAGTAAGTAAGATGTACTTACGTTTGCACTTTGCGGCGTGGTTTTATTTGTATTACTTTTAAATGTAGGAGTAGTAATAAAAGAGTAAAGTATTGGCAGGAAAGTGGTTAGAAAGATCTCGAATTGTTGGTGATGCACTCTAAAATCTTTTGAATTTCTATCAATTACATCGGTCATGATCATTCATTGTCAGAACTCTAATATTGAATATTGTGAATATTGTGAACACATTAACGGGACAAAAATAAAATATTCCGTCCTGTCGTCTTACTAACTTACAAAGAGTGGTCACTATTGATTCTTGGGAAAACGTTAAATCTCGGGTAATATCGGACGAAACACTTTACATTTACATGACTGAACACAGTTTTGAAAAAATGAGCAGGTCATACGATTCGAAAAAAATAACTGTTTTTCAGAAGAAAAAAAAACTTTCATCTAAAAACATGATCACTGCTCTCATGATCTGCTAAATCTGAAAAATAATGTTGTCACGCGTCAACTGGAGACCGCCTGATAGTCTCTCACCATGTCATAGAATAATGACAACGTAGCATGTATGATACATTAAACAATGTGTATCATAAGACGACTTACTCCGACTTAAGTCGGCTTCTTGGTCCGAGCAACTACAATTCCTCGCCACACGTCGCGGTCAAGCATAACAGATCTTATCTCTTCAACACAGGAAAGGCTGGTGTCCTTCTTTAGCATGTCCAGAAACGTAAGGTGGGGCCTCCCCGGTCTCCTGTATCCATGCTGAGGAGCTTGATAAAGTTTCAAATCGGTACTGTCACGCGCGTGATCACCAATATCTAAATAGCTAAATGTTGACAAACGACTTTTGTTAAAACATTTATTCAGATTTCAAGATGAGTCTAATCTTTTTAATTTCAGCCTCACCTTTACTAATACTTTATCTGTTCGTTCTTTGGTGTTCTAAGGTGAATTCTAATGAACTGTAGATTGGGCTGCAGATAAGCTTATCAGGTAACCAGGTAACCAGGTAACCAGGTAACCAGATGTAGATAAGGTTATCAGGATTGGTCGATGAGGGGTTCTGTTACTGGTTTTACAACACAACAGCGCGTCGTAAACTCAATATTTAATATAAATAAAGATTGAAGCTCTGAGTCTTCATCTGATAACAATTCGTTGTAGTATGAAAAATAATGGAACAATTCTTCTGATTGAACTTATCAAGTAAAAACTGTAATACGATGCAGGGAAAGAATGATAATATTTAAAATATAAACTTTTATAACAGTGTTAATTCTTAATTCTTCCACAGTACGTACTAGTCGTCCTTGTAAAGTTTCAGTTAGTAAACGTGGATGATGATTCTACCGTTCGTGTTTCTTACTGTTCTCATAGCGTTATCATCTGGTGCACCTGATCATGACAACTTGCAGATGAAATTCACAGCACTCAAGTTCACCGAGGATCCAAATAGCTACTTCCAATTTCGTCCAGATTTCAGCCCATTCACTCACGTCATCTCCGTTTGCGGGTGGATCAAGTCCCTTGGATCCTCGGAGTACCCTACAATTCTCCACTATGGTCACTACGAGCTGACTCTCCTGGATAACGGGAGATGGGTCTGTATCCTAGGATCCTGTACTCACATGTCCAGTAAGCTCCACGTGACCAAGAACACGTGGTACCACACGTGCGTTGTCTGGAGTACCTCCTCCAGTTCTCACAAGTACTACGTGGACGGTGAACTGCTTGGCACTCTGCCAACAAGATCGGACAGGCTGCTGAAGACAGGGGGAGAACTCACAGTGGGGAACTGGGGAGGAGATTATTACAAAACCCACCAGTTCGGAGGGGAACTATTCTATTTGAACTTCTACGCTAAAGAAATGTCTGCGGAGGAAGTGAGGAGGATGGTGTCAGGTGGGATGTGTGGTAACATGTTTCTGGATGAGCACGAGGATGCTCGTATTCTAGGGTGGGAGGAGATATTAGAACAATCCCGGAGTGGAACTGTTACAGAGGTGGATATGACTGGGGAGTGTGTTTCTACTTTGATAGCACAGGCTATCGGAAAACTAAGGGCTGGTGATACAGATAAGCAGGAAGATAAAGAAACTGAAGTGGAGGCAGCAGAAACTAAGCTTAATGATCACACTGAACATACGGAGATGAGTCTGAAGCAGGATCTAGAAAATGTTTCCAAGCAGCTTCAAGATGTTAAACAAGAGCTCAGTAGAACGAAAGGAGAACTGATTGAGTGTAGGGAAATGATTCAAGAAAATTAGGTGCGTATAATTATTCATTTTGTAATTGTTATTTACCTTTAAGATTGAGGTTTAAGCACTTACTTGTAATTATTTCCGATTTTTCATGCCATTATAACATACTAGTGTAACCCGTGCCTACGGCCGGGAAAGTATAAACCCGCCTATTATATTCGAAAACACGCATTACATTATCTTCTCGAATGTATCAATTTTATAAAATAAGTTAATTTCAACTAGGGAAATATAAATTGAAGTTAATGTTTTGGGGACGTTTGTGTGTTTTTTGTGTGTATTTTATTGTGAGTATTTAAAACAAGATAGGGACTATAATTGTAACGGTTTAAGTGTATACGTCTGTATTAATGTTGCCTCCGATTTCACTACACTGACAACATTCACTTTTTATTTTTTGTGTTATTTTTTACTTGAGATCTCATATCATAAAATTTTACCATCGCGATACGGGTATTAATTTACCTCCCAGCGGTGAGACACCGCTTCCCTCCATCGCCATGTTTGAAGCTCTCCCATCATCTGTTCTACTTCAGAGGGAAGTGATTTATTTTATATTTTAAAATTGTTATTATTCCAGTATATATACTGGAATAATAACAATTTTAAAATATAACTTGGCAATGCCAATAGACCTCAAGAATGATTTTACACGATTTTTTTACACGATTAGAAAATTTATTTGTTATAACAAATAAATTTTCTAATCGTGTAAAAAAATCGTGTAAAATCATTCTTGAGGTCTATTGGCATTGCCAAGTTATTTTATTATGTAGCAAATCTGTTATTGGGGGAGAGAGAACGAGAATGGGAGAGAGGGAGAAAACGTAAGACACTTAAGTATCACATTTTGGTCACAAAATGATCGATTAAACCACTTACCAGGGACAAAAGGAAATCGCGGCATGTACGGAATCGCGATTTGTCCCATTATTTGCGACAAATTTTATGTATAGTTTAATGTATAGTCTGTTAAAAATCGAGGTATCGCGAATTTTGGTCAAAATAATCTTGAAATCCTTTTGTCCCTGCCACTTACCACCGACCGATTTAAAAAAACTCAATCATTTGGCTTCGTCAGAGTTTTGTCGGCACTATACCGAAAAAAAAACCAGTCACATATCTCTTAGTCTTACCGTTTTCTTGATTTAACCATTCGTAAATTACAGACAGACACACGCGCATTTATTGAGATTATTAGTATAGATGACACTACGACAGTCTATCGTTAGACCGACTTACTTACTGGCATATCGGGAATTAATTAAATATAAATCAGATTATTCAGAAACTAGTTATTTACCCTGATTTTGCTGTCTGCTGCATTTTTAAAAAAATGTAAATTTCAGGTGAACTGGAAGAGGTGGCAGGGACGAGAGATCTAAATGGTGTCTAAATTGAGATTGTGAGAAATGATAGCTGAGCGTAATTGTTTGATTGATGTTGATATTTTCAATCTCGAGCTTCAGCGTCCATCGTTGTTTAAAAATTGCAAAAACATGCATGATTTGCGGTCTAGAGTAGTTCTGAGCAACATCAAAACAGTGGTACGCGGTTTTTAGAAATCGTTATATTCATAATTAAAACTCTTTCTATTTTCAAGTTTAACAGTACATTTGTTAAAATGACCGCAGATATTATAGCAGCTTATATTATATTCAACAGGTGGTAGAATATATTATGTGTGACAGTATAATTACATTCTATTTTACAAAATGATTTAAAGTTGTATCCAAGAAC